TGCTAAAATATATAGGAGTAAAACCTTGCTATACCCTCTACAAAAAGTACACTTTTGCCAAGAATAACCAACTCAAATACACACGATTTAGTGGCCGTGAGTGTACCCCCAATATGCATCAGGAGAACAAAGGTTTTATCATACAAATAAAGATTACAAAGACGACAGGTTTACGATACAGGCTACAGAGATGGGACTGCTCTACAGAGATGGGCCAGGTCTATAGAGATGGGACAGCTCTACAGAGATGGGACAGATATACAGAGATGGGACTGCTCTACAGAGATGGGCCAGGTCTACAGATATAATAATGATCTACATCATTAGCAACATCAACAGAAGACAGACTACTCTACTTGCGTCCCAGGACAGCATCATAGATCTTGCCTGTCCTCTCCACATGTACGTTGTTAAACCCTACGGCTGTCAGCAGGGCAGTGTACTCTGCTGCCGTCCGCTCTTTCCCCTCACCAGCATGTTCAGAGAGTACAGCTGGGCTGTCAGAGGCCCTGACCCGTCTTCACACAGCAACGCCTCTACCACCAACACACCACCTCCTACACGCACGTACACACACACACAGGCATGCACACACATACAGTTGAAGTCGGAAATTTACATACACCTTAGCCAAATACATTTAAACTCAGTTTTTCACAATTCCTGACCATTAATCCTAGTAAGAATTCCCTGTCTTAGGTCAGTTAGGATCACCACTTTATTTTAAGAATGTGAAATGTCAGAATAATAGTAGCGAGAATGATTTATTTCAGCTTTTATTTCTTTCATCACATTCCCAGTGGGTCAGACGTTTACATACACTCAATTAGTGTTTGGTAGCATTGCCTTTACATTTTTTAACTTGGGTCAAATGTTTCCGGTAGCCTTCCACAAGCTTCCCACAATAAGTTGGGTGAATTTTGGCCCATTCCTCCTGACAGAGCTGGTTTAACTGAGTCAGGTTTGTAGGCCTCCTTGCTCGCACATGCTTTTTCAGTTCTGCCCACAAATTTTCTATAGGATTGAGGTCAGGGCTTTGTGATGGCCACTCCAGTTGCAATCCGTAGTCTGGCTTTTTTATGGCGGTTTTGGAGCAGTGGCTTCTTCCTTGCTGAGCGGCCTTTCAGGTTATGTCGATATAGGACTTGTTTTACTGTGGATATAGATACTTTTGTACCTGTTTCCTCCAGCATCTTCACAAGGTCCTTTGCTGTTGTTCTTGGATTAATTTGCATTTTTCGCCCCAAAGTACGTTCAACTCTGGGAGACAGAACGCGTCTTCTTCCTGAGTGGTATGACAGCTGCGTGGTCCCATGGTGTTTATACTTGCGTACTATTGTTTGTACAGATGAACGTGGTACCTTCAGGAGTTTGGAAATTGCTCCCAAGGATGAACCAGACTACAAAAAAATTCTGAGGCCTTGGCTGATTTCTTTTGATTTTCCCATGATGTCAAGCAAAGAGGCACTGAGTTTGAAGGTAGGCCTTGAAATACATCCACAGGTACACCTCCAATTGACTCAAAAATGTCAATTAGCCTATCAGAAGCTTCTAAAGCCAAGACATCATTTTCTGGAATTTTCCAAGCTGTTTAAAGGCACAGTCAACTTAGTGTATGTAAACTTCTGACCCACTGTAATTGTGATACAGTGAAGTATAAGTGAAATAATCTGTCTGTAAACAATTGTTGGAAAGATTACTTCTGTCATGCACAAAGTAGATGTCCTAACCGACTTGCCAAAACTATAGTTTGTTAACAAGAAATTTGTGGAGTGGTTGAAAAACGAGTTTAAATGACTCCAACCTAAGTGTATGTAAACTTCCGACTTCAACTGTACAAACACAGGCACGCACACATACAGTGAATGAATAATGAGTGCGTGATTGCGTTCTTTGGCTCTGGGCTAGGATGGCCTGGATGTGATATGATGTCAGTCAATGTGTTTCTTCCTCCGTTGTCTGACCCAGACTGCTGCTTGCTGTTTGTTTCTAGCAGAAGGTTGAGCTGAAGGTTAAAACAATATCCTCATTGCTATGCAGAATGTGTGTGTGTTTGTTATGTACGAGCAAGTGTGTGAGTGTGTTTGTGTTATGTAACAAGCTTCTGGCTACAGCAGAGCTCTCAAAGGCCAGAGATTGTGTGTGTGTGTGTGTGTGTGTGTGTGTGTGTGTGTGTGTGTGTGTGTGTGTGTGTGCTTGTGGGCTTGTCTGACAGGATGCTTTTGTTGACACAGTCACCCGAGGAGAAGAAGGGGCGTGCGGAAGAGTAAGGAGAGGGATGATATTTGTGACAGGTCAGCATCTGGAAACTCGTCTTTGAAAAAGTCTCCTACACACAATGGTGTCAGTCAAAGACAAAGATAACTTAGGATAAAACTTGTTACGGGCTCCTCCCATCACTCTGTCTGAGGTCATTGATTGGCTGTCTCTCTTTGTGGACCTTCATGGAAGCTGTTCTCTGGATGTCTTCACCACCTTAAGGAGGTCAAAGATCGTGACTGTGCATTCTGGGTACGTCAACACATATTTCTTGGCTAGGGATCCACTACAACCTAAAGAGAGAGATAGATGCAGTGATGTGTAATATAGGATCAGAGTATTATAATCACATGAATAAACAGCCTGGGTACCAGAGAGGGTAAACCATGTGATCGTGTTGTCATGGTGACCTATAAACTGATTACTGACTAATGGACATTACGTTAGACCTGGGGGCAGGACTAATTGGCGGATCAATAATCCTCCACTGACCAATGAGGTGCTGAGTCCCAGGAGAGCCTGCCCAGCTCTGATGTGTGTTTGTGATGTGATGTGTGATCTCTATGTGGAGTTTACACCCAGACAGTGTCTACAGAGACACATAGAGATCAGTAACCAGCAGAAACGTGGCCTGTCTGGGAGACTGTCTAGCCCTAAAGTTGGGTGAGCTTTATCACAACATTGTTTAGTGGAATCTGTATTCCGAACACACACACACACACACACAGTTCAATACAGGAGGACAGGGGAGAGAAGGAATCAAAGAAGCTAAAATAACCAAATAGAATCAAAGGGAAACACAACACACAGAACTTTTTATCTCCCTAGCCTCTCCCTCTCTCTCTCTCTCTTTTTCCGCAATGTGTGTGTGTGTGTGTGTGTGTGTGTGTGTGTGTGTGTGTCAGAGCCCAACTCCTCTCAGCCTCAGCTCGTAGCTGCACAGCTACCCCCTGTGGTCTTTGGAGTTATTATCCTACAGTGTCATGTTAAGCTGTCCACTTTACACACACACACGAAACACAGGGGCGTCATGCACTCCAAAAATCTGAGGGGGCACAATGTATGTGAGGATGATTGGGGGGGGGGGTCCGGAGAGGGGCCAGGCCCCTTGTTGGGAAGTTGGATAATTCTGCATTTCTCAAACACCTGAAACAGCTTTTTCCTGGAATCTAAAGTCAAAATCATTATGCTTAATATGTTTATTTTTCTGCATATCTCAGCATACCTCTTGAGCTGACTGTATCCTCCTGACTGGTGGTTATTCTTTTAAAGAAACTAAATATGCTTCTCTGCATCTCTGCTCAAATTTGAGCCTTATTCAGTATATTTAGTAACTGCTTGCTTTTCTAAAGTCTACCAACCTTGCCAGCAGGCATGCCAGCTAAAATAGTTAGACAAGCTAGCTACTCAAACTTGATTCATAGCCTGAAATGGCTTCTTGGTAGCTAATTATGAGGTTGGGAACCTATCTGGGCTAGCTAAAGCCAACTTCATAAAATTGCTATGTGGCTAGTAGTATTACAGAGAAACTTCAACAAAAAATTTACACTTTTTTTTTTACTGGAAAAATCTCAGGGGACATGATGCCTCTGCACACACACACAGGTCCTTACCCCTGAGGTCATAGATGGTTCTGAAAGGTGAGAGGTCGAAGGCCGTCACTACGTCTCGACCACAGATGATCCAGATGGAGTTCATCAGCTGCATAAACTTCACCCTCTCCTCCTCAGACCTACACACACACGGACACAGAGACACACACACGTGCAAGCACCCACGCAAACACACACACACGTGTATGTGCATGCACACACATTTTTAAGACACACATGCTGAAGGCAGAGTTTCAATCAGCTGTCTCCCCCTATTTCCAGAGTCAATCCTACCCAAAAACAAACAAACACACACACACACACACACACACACACACACACACACACACACACACACACAGGCACGTTCACACACACATTCCTCTCCCCACATACAGTACCATACAGCTGTGCCCAGCAGACAAACTGTTCTCTGAATGATTTCACAACTGTAATTCCTTCTCCTGCTCCCTCCACTTCCTCCTCTCCCTCCTTTATGTCCTCCCTCCTTACATTTACATTTTAGTCATTTAGCAGACGCTCTTATCCAGAGCGACTTACAGTTAGTGAATACTTTATTTTTTATACTGGCCCCCCTGTGGGAAACGAACCCACAACCCTGGCGTTGCAAACGCCATGCTCTATCAACTGAGCTACATCCCTGCCGGCCATTCCCTCCCCTACCCTGGACGACGCTGGGCCAATTGTGCGCCTGCCCATGAGTCTCCCGGTCGCGGCCGGCTGCGACAGAGCCTGGATTCGAACCAGGATCTCTAGTGGCACAGTTAGCACTGCGATGCAGTGCCTTAGACCACTGCGCCACTCAGGAGCGGTTCGTCCTTCTCCGCCTATCACACAGCCAACGACTGACAGACACCAGGCAGAGAGAGAGCATGAGAGAGAGAGAGCGAGTAAGGAAGAGAAAGTGTTTTGTTTTGAAATAAATCCTTTAACTTGTGATCCTAGACTAGAAAACCACTGAACCATAAAAAGTGAATTATTATCATTAGATCGACTGTGAAGCTCAAGGCCATTCCACAGCTTCTCACTTTCCTAATCTTTTCTCACTTCACTGACACTTTTTCTCCAGGCAGGAAAGCGGAGAGGGAGGGAGTGCCTAGTACCTAGTGCCAGTAGCCACTAGGTACCGCTCAGGCTGGCCCTGATTCCCTGCGCTACCTCCTCTAGAGACAGGGGGTGCTGTGACGAGGCCAGCAGGTCAAACACACCCATCTCACACAGGGTCTGGGGGAGAGAGGGGACAGGGTCAAACACACACACATCAAACAGTAGCCAATAATGGGACTTGAATCCTATGTGGGTGTATGTGTGTGTGTGTTGTTACCTTGGAGACCAGGAAGCCTTCCATATAGTCCAGAATCATCTGAGTGTAGGCAACAGCTGCAGCAGCATTGGTAGTACCAGCCGCCGGCGCCATTGAAAAACTCTTCCCCGCACCCTCAGCCGTAGCCTCTCACTAGACACCACTGGTTGACTAACATATGTTTGTGTCTGTCGCTGTATGAGACTGAGTGTTAATGCGTGGCCTCCTGTTGTCAAAAGAGATCCTGTATGAGTCATCTAGGAGTGTGTCCTGTATGAGTTGATCCCAAGTCAATCCTGGTACTGCTACTACTGCTAGTGAAACAGCTGAGAGCTCTCGTGAGCGTGTGGTAGTACAGCTGACTGAGGGAGTAATGTTAATGACCACTGCTGTCTCAGTGAGAGCAGCAGGGTTTCATCGGATAGCCCATAGGTCTTGTGTTTGTGTGTGTATGTGTTAGAGTGCAGACCCAGTCAAAGCAGAGTGGTATAATCAGATTACAGTTTACAGCCATGGGCTCATACCTCAATACACCGGGGCCTTGTTTACCACAACACATACACACAGACTCTAATAACTACACACGTCACTAACACACACTCACCTCATTCTGTTTCAGACTAGAAATATACTGAGGCCAACTTGAACACTAACAATACACTCACCACACTACTATAACTACACGCAAAACCTCATCTGTCTGTAATGAAACCCCAGATTACTTAGAATAATTCAATGTACAGTACCAGTCAAAAGTTTGGACACACCTACTCATTCAAGGGTTTTTCTTTATTTTTACTATTTTCTACATTGTAGAATAAAAGTGAAGACATCAAAACTATGAAATAACACATATGGAATAATAATAATATGCCATTTAGCAGACGCTTTTATCCAAAGCGACTTACAGTCATGTGTGCATACATTTTTACGTATGGGTAGTCCCGGGGATCGAACCCCACTACCCTGGCGTTACAAGCGCCATGCTCTATCAATTGAGCTACAGAGGTTACCATGTAGTAACCAAAAAAAGTGTTAAACAAATCAAAATTTAGTTTTCAATGTAGCCACCCCCTTTTGCCCTCAGAACAGGCTCAATACATTGGGGCATGGATTCTACAAGGTGTCGTAAGCATTCCACAAGGATGCTGGCCCATGTTGACTCCAATGTTTCTCACAATTGTGTCAAGTTGGCTGGATGTCTTTTGGGTGGTGGACCATTCTTGATACACACAGGAAACTGTTGAGTGTAGAAAACCCAGCAGAGTTGCAGTTCTTGACACACTCAAACCAGTGCACCTGGCACCTACTACCATACCCCGTTCAAAGGCACTTAAATATTTTGTCTTGCCTATTCACCCTCTGAATGGCACACATACACAATTCAGGTCTCAAGGCTTAAAAATAATTATTTAACCTGTCTACACTGATTGAAGGTGACACTCACCTATAACTAAAGGGATCATAGCTTTCACCTGGTCAGTCTGTCATGGAACGAGCAGGTGTTTTACATTTTAGCAGACGCTCTTATCCAGAGCGACTAACAGGAGCAATTAGGGTTAAGTGCCTTGCTCAAGGGTACATCGACAGATTTGTCACCTAGTCGGCTCAGGGATTAGAACCAGCGACCTTTCGGTTACTGGCACAACGCTCTTAACCACTAAGCTACCTGCCGCCCATGATTATATATCATGGAACATGGAACATAATCTTCAGAAAGGTATTAACCTCAGTAGTGGCGCTTTCTTAAAGAAGCCTATGGCTGTGCAATGGCATACATAGCCTTGCTTTGTTTATTTAGCAGACAAGACACTCTTATTTCCCAAACCATTACGGTCAAGACACCTATTTTATAGTAAACAAACGATGTAATATTACACAATAAAATATAACAGAATAGTGATGCGCATCTCCAGTCTGGAACAGTTAATCTCAAAGAGTGATCATTTGAAACGGGGCTCAATTTGGCGGGTTGACAATTTTTTTCAGGGTTACAAAACAAAATCTGTCTTTTCGAAATACAGACGTTCTATTTAGTTTATTCTGCCTGTTTTGGGGGAATTATCCAAATGTATGAACAATTCCACATCGAACACTGCATGGTGATGAATTACAGCCAGGACATACATCTGTTTGGTGAGTAGGCCTATGCTTAATGATTCTGATAATTACGCTCTGTCTTTATCAAACTAATGTTTTTGCGTATTTTCAGTGTGGAACCTGTCTATGTTTAGGGGGGTTATAGCCTAGGTATTCAACTCTTACCCTACAAGGTCCGGAACCTTCTGGTTTTCTGTTCTACCTGACAACTAATTACTCCCACCTGGTGTCCCGGGTCTAAATCAGTGCCTGATTAGAGGGGAACAATGAAAAAAAGCAGTGGCACTGGCTTCAAGGTCCAGAGTTGAGTTTGAGGAGGCTAGACCAGGAATGGGCAACTCCAGTCCTCGGGGGCCAGACTGGTGTCACACTTTTTCCCCATCCCTAGCAAACACAGCTGATAAAAGTAATTGCATTCTAAACTGAAGATCATGATTAGTTGATTATTGTCAGGCGTGTTAGCTGGGGCAAAATTGTGACACCAAACACAGTGTGTAGGGAGCAGTCGGAACGCAATTGAGTGAATGAGACATAGGGGAAAGGGAATTTAGGAAGAACTGTGTGATGCTTGGCTTGATTTATTTTTTGTTGTGCCCCGCAAATGCACATGTACAAATACAACACTAAAGTCAAAACAAATGAACATTGTCTCCAAGACAAAATGTCACTTGCCTGTTCGGGCAGCCACAAAGCACATTCCACCAAATAGTTTAACAATGTTTAAAAAAAAAAAAAATCTCAGGTCAAAGATCGAGCTTTGATGTCCGTTCGAGTACTCGATTACTCATGCCCATCCCTAGTAGGTATTAGGTTAGTAAGCTATCCATTCATTCAGTCAAAATATACATCTGAAATAAATCACTTTTTTTGTAGTTTCTTTATTACAACAAATAAATTGACAAGTGTGTTGAGGACATGCTGCTGCCCATCAGAGCTGAGAAACATGAGAATATAGAGTACAGACTGATGAGCCTCCTGACACGCTGACCTTTATACAACCTATATACAATGTTACCCACTCACACCACTCTGCTCTGTTCACTCATCAATAAGGCAACTTAAAATGTTCTTATCCACAGAACTTTAGCAGGGACACCATTAAAATAATGAACATGGTGAAACTAGGCTTCCATCTGGGGTGGGTGCTGTTAAACACCGAGTCACCTATATCTCTCTCTCACCAGAACACTGCTGACACTGATCTTTAAATCATACAGAACCCCTTTATGTTATAGTGACATTATCATTTAACCAAGTTAGAACTAAAACTACGGTCTCATCTGGTGGTCAGACGTGGAACTCAGAAACATGACATCAGGTCAATTTCATGGTCATCTTTGGCTTCGATTTCTCTCGTGAATGATTACATTTCTCTCTAGAAAAACTAAATGGAATTCAAGTAATTGAACGAATGCCGGTCAGTTAGTTGTTCAATAACCCCCCCCCCACTCCCCCACTTTATCCTGGGGTAAAAAACTTGACTTAAACTACAGCTGTCTACCTACTGCACTAGGCTGTGTGGCATTTACCCATAGGACTACAGATCCCTGCATCCTGCTGAAGCACTCTAATACTGAACTACAATTCCCAGAAACCAACTAACACTGTTTTTCTGAAACACAAACCAGGCCATTCACTGTGACCCTTAAAAGACCAAGTATTTTTTCTGTGTCCTTCCTCTGTACGTCTTTCTACACAGGAGACACATACTAACAGCGTGATCAATCTACAGTACATATGGAATCTACACTACATGTGTCAAACAGAACATAATAGCAGTATAGCATTCTTTAACCTTAAAGTCAGTAAATAAACAGACTAGAGATGAACAAAGAGCATTGGGGGAGGGAGAGAGAGAAAGAGGTGTGTGTGTATAAGAAGCTGATATGGCCCAGAGACAGTAGACAGCAGCATACTAGAACCCCTGACCATGCATCACTTAAACTAGGACCAGGCATAGGGTCCTCTTCTGTCTCCTCTGGCTGTGTTCACAGTTTAGTGTCGTCTGGAATGAGAACGACTCCTACTACACTTCCTGGAGTCCCTGTCTCTATCCCTACTCCTGTCTCTACTCCTGTCTTTCTCTGTACTCCTGTCCTTCTCCCTGCTCCTCCCTCTACTCCTAGATCTGCTCCTGCTGTCTTTATCTCCACTATGTCTATGGCTCCTCCTCCCTCTGCTGTGGCTCCTCCCACTAGAGCTTCTGCTCCAATCATGGCTGGAGCTCCTGCTGCTGCGGCCCCGTCCATGGTGACTGTCTCTCCTGTGGCTACGACTACCACTCCTCCTCCTGCTATCGCTTCTCCTCCTCTTAGAACTACAACTTCTTCTCCGTCTGCTATCGCTTCTCCTCTTAGAACTACGACTTCTCCCCCTGTCTGCTATCGCTTCTCCTCCTCCTTTGACTATCACTCCTCTTTCTGGTAGAGCTTCTTCGTCCCCGGCTGTGGCTGTACCTCCTCCTACCCTGGCTATGGGACCGACTCCTCTCCCTAGGTTTCTCCCTCGCCTCCCTTCTTCTCCATTCATAACCTCTCCTCTCCTCCCTTCCTCCTCGCCTCTCCTCCCTCTCTCCTATCTGTTTCTCAGTGACGTGTGAGCGTACCGTAGCTCTGGGTCTCTCCTCTCCCCTCGGTCTCACCCCGTTCACCCCCAGGGCCCTGCCTGTCTTACCCAGGTCGGAGCTGTCTCCCCTGGGCATGGTCAGGGCTGACGGCTGGGTGGTGGAGGTCTGGTTTTCTCCCTCTCCTCCAGCCTTCTTCAGCAGGTTACCAACCAGTCTCTCCCTCAGCTCTTTCTCCCTGCGCTGCAGATCCAAGGCACGCCCTTTCTCTAACTCCACACGTCTCAGCTCCACCTCCTGCTCCCGCCTGGAGGCCTCCAGCTGCTCCAGCCGGGCTAACTCCTCCTTCTGCCTGGCTAACTCCTCCTTCTCTCGCTCCTCTCTCTCCACTCTCTCTTTCTCCTGCTGTTGCTGTTTCAGAGCCTAGGGAGGGGAGAGGGAGAAGACAGATTGTAATGTAGGTCCTATCGGCATGTCTGTATTAAATGTGCATTGGTATAGGTGTAAGTATTGGTGAATTAAATGACACCATGCATCAAGTGTGTGTGTGTGTGTGTGTACCTTGGCCCTGCCCAGTAGTTCAGCGATAAGGCGTATAGACTCCAGGTTCCTCTGAGCCAACAACAGCCTTCTCTCCTCCGTCGCGATCTTCATCTGCAACTTCTTCTGCTCCTCCTCCTGCCTCCTCTTCACCTTCTTTAGGTTCCTCCTCTCCTCCCTCTCTCTCAGCTTCTGCTCTCGTTTCCGTATCCTCTCCTCCCTCTTCCGCTCCTTTTCCTCCTCCTCCGCCTCCTTCTGTTTCCTACAACCACAGCAGAAGCATGGTTCATTCACTAGTCTAATACATAGCTCTGCTACTGTCTACCAATACAGGCCCTAGTAGCTCATCTCCTACCCCCTTCGGTTTGCAGATCTGAAGGACTGGATGGGTGATAGCAATACGGTGGAAGCTTACACTCATTAGAAGACGAGGTGGAGCGATCACCATGTTCCTTACACCTATCCAGTCCCCTCAGATCTACAGACCAGACACTAAAGAGGCAAAGACAGCGGACAATGTTTTCAGACCAGGCATATGACCTCTCCTCCTCCTTGCATCTCTCCTCTTCCTCCTTCTCCTTGCGTTTCAGCTCCTCCCTCTGTCTCTCCAACTCCAGTATTCTCAGTCGTTCCTGCTGCCGTCTCTTTAGAGTCACGTCACTCAGGTGCTTACTGGTGTCAAAGGTCACCTGACAGACAGGCAGACAGTTAGCTGAGTGGGTCACCTGATAGAGTTGGAGTAGGACTGCAGGATGCACTAGTGACACTCGGGTGTTTATTCATGTCAAAGGTTACCTGACAGACTGGACGTGCTACTCTCCTGACACTCTCCTCCTTCTACCCCCCTCCATCTCCTCCTTCCACCCTCTCCTTCTACCCCACCCCCCCTCCATCTCCTACTTCTACCCCTCTCCTTCTACCCCACCCCCCTCCATCTCCTCCTTCCACCACCCCCCCCATCTCCTCCATCCACCCTCTCCATCTCCTCCTTCCACCCTCTCTTTCTACCCCCCTCCATCTTCTCCTTCTACCCCCTCCCTCCATCTCCTCCTTCCACCCTCTCCTCCTCCTTCCCTCCATCCCTCGTCTCCTTCTACCCCCCCCCTCCATCTCAGAATAGCAGTGTATTATGTTAAAAGTCTTTGCTTAGTAGCCTGAGCAATGCTGCCGTGCGAGTGGTCATGTGCTGAACACATGGACTGCGCAGATATTCTTGGGAAAAAATGATATTTGGAAATAGAGCTGCACCACTTGAATTTTGAGAGTTATTTGACAAAGGTAAGTGTCATAGAAACTGATACTATATAGAAACCTAAAATGCCCATCTCTTCATGTACAATTTGACAACTTATAATATTGTCACTCATCAAACTATTGTCAATTTAGTCTTGTCTTCAGGCTAACTCTTATTATGTGTGAAATTAGTTTGGGTATAGTTTCGATGGGCCGGCTGCGCAGGCTGACTGCCATCGTTTGTTTCCCCTCGTTCATCAACTTGGATTGAGTCAAGGATATGTTTAGCATTATTCTAAAGGCCTACTGCAACACATAGCATGTTTTCATTTCCCTTACAATACATTTGATTATAATAGAGTTACAGTAAATAAAACAGTCCTGTAACAGGTCCTTTTTACAAAGTAAAGTGTAAAAGAGAATGGTATCAACCTGCAAGGCCATGTGGTCAAATTATTTTCTATAATAATGAGCGTCAACGCTGATAAATAGGCATAACACTCATCATTACACTATTATTGTTTTATATTAAATCAGCAACCTTCTTCACCCTCCTTATAATTCAGTTAGGCCTAATTTAAATGAAATTGGGACATAATGTGCACAATTATCGGCCATTCATCCATTTGTCATTCAGTGAGGAGCGAGAGACACATTAGCGCCTGGCTGGGTACCAACATCCTACAGCGCATTGTCTTGGATGGATAAATTGGGAATAGGTGTGAAGAAAGAGGGTAAAAAGGCTCTAAACACTTTTCTGTTTGATTTCAAAATTATGACAAATGAGCAATGTAAAATACAAACTTTCAAAAAGTCAGGGAAGGTCGTTCTGGTGTTAACACAGCAGGACAATCCCCTCAACCCTCACCCAAATCTAACAGTGTGGATACCTTCCTTTCCCTTCTATACGTGTTTCATCCCTCTTAGTGTGTGTATATGTTTGTGTGTGTGGTGTCTGTAGTGTGGATAGTGTGTGTAGTTCACTACCTTGATGTTGCAGGCCACAGCCTTGCCATCCTCTCCTTTGTACATGAGCTTCATGCCTCTCAGTGTGTCCATGGCTTTGGCGAAGCCATCGTACTCTTGGTATTGGACGTACGCCTCAAAGTTAAGATGGCCGCCGAAGGTGAAGGTGTTGAAGTTCTTATCAAGAGTCTCCTCTCTGTACGGGTCCAGCATGGGGATGTCTACATGACGCACCTGACCAAAGCCCTGGGAGGAGGGATACGGTTAGGGGTAGGGCTGGGACGATACCAGTATCGCGATACTCGTTAGTATCGTGGCAAGGAAACAAAACAGGAAGCGGATTTAACTTTAGGAAAACAGCCCTAATGCTGGAAACAAACATCATTATGTTGTCATCCAGTCACATGTATTTATTTTCCAAGCAATAGAACACTATTTTACATACAGCATGTTTTTAAAGGACCATAAGTTAGGTCTGCTTCGTGTTTTCATTTTTGCCATGGAAAGAATATTGCGATACTGGTATCGTCCCAGCCCTATTTAGGGTGTGTGTGTTAGGGTTAGTGTGTGTGTGTGTGTTAGGGTGATTGATTGATCGATTGAGTGATTGTTAGGTATATGATGCGTCCTTTCCTACCTGGAAGACGGTCTGCAGGGCAGTCTCGGAGGGCCGGTCAGGGGGACCGTCAGGCAGGGTAAACCAGCGGCAGGGCAGGCCCTCCAAGTGGATGGTGTCTGGCCTCTCCCCTGGAACCGTATCGTTCATGTCCTTGGCATCACGGAAGAACGAGTCCCAGTCATAACGTGTCGGGAAGTCCATCTTATTCTCCACCGCACGCACCTGGACACCCCACAGACCAGGGAGAAATTGTTATCAGTTATAGCTACATGATGTATTATTCCCCTTTAATTTACCAGTTCAGTTGATTTGGAGAAACAGAGTTCTGTTTTGCAAGAACTTGCAGATGGTACTCTGTCACCAAAATTACAGATTTTTTGTTAACACTTTACCTGACACATTTTCACTGTACATTTTGAGGCCTACGTAACAGCTCTGCTACCTTGAGTATGTCAGTGAAGCCGCTGAGTTTGATGCTCTTGCCATCCAGTTTGGCCAGCAGGATCTTCACCACCCCTCTGTTCTCCACCTCGCCCTCGAAGCGGATAAAGTCCATGGTGCTCTTAGAGATCCTGGGGAGAGACAGCGGTGAGACATATTGCTCGACGATTACAGCTTCATACAATACATATATCCATACCAGAAAATATTGATACCAGGCAACCCATTGGCCATATTATCAGTATTGTCATGGTTTTACTGTTATTGTAGAGTTATTAGCTTGCTTGTAGCTTAGCTATAACAACACACGTGACCTATGGCTATGACTATAACAGTATGAATATGTTCCAATGGCCAGGGCCCATGCCAACCTGAGGGCAGAGAACTGTTCAGGAGCCACCATGGCCTTCACCCTCTCCATCACCTCCCAGTTAGAGATGCTCTTCCCAGGCAGCTTCAGCTGGGGCAGTGCCACACTCAACTGGAAGACAAATCATAGAATACATTTTACTGTAATACATGCTTACCTGGAAGTCAAATACATTGTGTTGGAGATGCTCATTACTTCAGGTACAGGTGTATTTGCCTGGAAACCCAAAGTTGATTTACATTGAATTGTACATCAGGGCAGAAATGAGCGTCTGAATCAGGAAAGTTTCCTCTCAACCTCTACAAGCCAGAATGTTGAATAAAATTATATTTTAACGTACTTTACCGGTTGTCTGTGCGGTTGTGAGACAATATATCCACAGGAAAGTATAATTACATCAACTTTTCAAAGCGCTGGTTGTGGGTTCAGATTTCCATCACCTGAAGCATGCGCAGAAACATGTAAACACGTGCATGAGCTCGGCAAGTATGCATGCATTTTTATCTTGTCCGCATGCGAACAGTAACTGAATGCCTCGATGTCTGCCTGCTTTATATAACAAGCCACAGCCATGTGACTAACTGTCTGTATGAGCGATCCATTTTCGTGAACGGGGTGGTGTACCTAATGAACTGGCCAGTGTGTGTGTAATATACAGTACCAGTCAAAAGTTTTAGAACACCTACTCATTCCAGGGTTTTTCTTTATTTTTACTATTTTCTACATTGTAGAATAATAGTGAAGACGTGGTCCTCTGTAGCTCAATTGGTAGAGCATGGCGCTTGTAACGCCAGGGTAGTGGGTTTGATCCCCGGGACCACCCATACATAAAAATGTATGCACACATGACTAAGTCGCTTTGGATAAAAGCGTCTGCTAAATGGCATATTATTATTATTATTATGCTTCAGGTGATAGAAATCTGAACGCACTACATTTTATTCAACATCCTGGCTTGTAGAGGTCGTGAGAGGAAACGTTCCTGATTCAAACGCTCATTTCTGTTTCCAGGCAAATGGTGTATGTGACACTGTATGTGTGTCACTCACCGTCATCTTGGCGATGGGCTTCAGGAAAAGGTTGTACTCCAGACACAGACACACCGCCTCAGTGGTGTCATGGACGAGGGTGGTCATCATGACACCTGACTACGGGGGGGGAAGAGAGTCAATGGGATCAGTGTGGAAAAATGTGTAATGTACTGTCTTTCATACAGTACTATCACTGGATATCTGGTTGGCCGGCCAGCTAGCTATAATTAATGCAGCATAAATTGCCAATGAATGGATTGATCTTGTTAGCTACAAGCTAGCTAATATTTTTTCTAATGAAGCAGTACACGTTAGCCATCTTGCTTCTTTTATCGAGTCGCTAGAAAGGACATCACTGTGAATTTTTGCTAGCAAACTAACGTCATCTAAATATCCGATATCTAGCTAAGCAATGAAACTAAATGCAGAATATATATAGCTAACCGACTAGCTGCTACGTCTGAATGGTTTCATATAGGTAACGTTAGCTGGCTAACATAGCAGCTAACTGTTAGCTGGCTAACGGTAACCAATGCGGCCGCAGCACTTTTATACTGGAAAAAAACACTGAAATCATTGACAGTTAGTGATGTAAATACACCAACCTGCTTCACCAGCTGCTAAATATATGTACTTTATGTTGTTTGCATGTGTTAAAACTAGAATATGTTCATAAAGCGTCAGTTAACTGTAGTTTTCTGCACAACAAATGTAGCTCCTGGCGGAAACTTCCGAGTTGAGAGAACTTTGAACTTACCGTAGACATCCAAACGGTTTTTACTGTGGAAAAAAAACTTTTGCGCCACCTTGCGATGGATCCTGAAGCGCATTTGGACAGACAATGTTTTACTAACAAATTTAAGAACATTGTAACATAATTACATCTTTGTCTTTCAAGTCGTGCACTGATAAATTGCAAATAGTCTCAATTGTCTTGTATCAGAGAGCAGCAAACTTCAACATTTCCCACCATCATCATTAGATTTGGAAAAAATATAATATCAAATACACTTTTCCTGTTGCCTTTCTAAGATTTCTGCAAATGGATACCTACAACTGGTGTAGGGATGAGAGGTGCGTGTGGGCAGCCCAGGGGAAAAGTGTATTTGGCAATATTATATAGTTAGCTAGCTGCTTATCCCAGGTAGATAACTGGTTAATTTGACAAAAACAATCTACAGTGAGGGAAAAAAGTATTTGATCCCCTGCTGATTTTGTACGTTTGCCCACTGACAAAGAAATGATCAGTCTATAATTTTAATGGTAGGTTTATTTGAACAGTGAGAGACAGAATAACAACAACAAAATCCAGAAAAATGCATGTCAAAAATGTTATAAATTGATTTGCATTTTGATGAGGGAAATAAGTATTTGACCCCCTGTCAATCAGAAAGATTTCTGGCTCCCAGGTGTGTTCTATACAGGTAACGAGCTGAGATTAGGAGCACACTCTTAAAGAGAGTGCTCCTAATCTCAGTTTATTACTTGTATAAAAGACACCTGTCCACAGAAGCAATGAATCAATCAGATTCCAAACTCTCCACCATGGCCAAGCCCAAAGAGCTCTCCAAGGATGTCAGGGACAACATTGTAGACCTACACAAGGCTGGAATGGGCTACAAGACCATCGCCAAGCAGCTTGGTGAGAGGTTGACAACAGTTGGTGTGATTATTCGCAAATGGAAGAAACACAAAAGAACTGTCAATCTCCCTCGGCCTGGGGCTCCATGCAAGATCTCACCTCGTGGAGTTGCAATGATCATGAGAATGGTGAGGAATCAGCCCAGAATTACACGGGAGGATCTTGTCAATAATCTCAAGGCAGCTGGGACCATAGTCACCAAGAAAACAATTGGTAACACACTACGCCGTGAAGGACTGAAATCCTGCAGCGCCTGCAAGGTCCCCCTGCTCAAGAAAGCACATATACAGGCCCATCTGAAGTTTGCCAATGAACATCTGAATGATTCAGAGGAGAACTGGGTGAAAGTGTTGTGGTCAGATGAGACCAAAATCGAGCTCTTTGGCATCAACTCAACTCGCCGTGTTTGGAGGAGGAGGAATGCTGCCTATGACCCCAAGAACACCATCCCCACCGTCAAACATGGAGGTGGAAACATTATGCTTTGGGGGTGTTTTTCTGCTAAGGGGACAGCACAACTTTACCGCATCAAAGGGACGATGGACGGGGCCATGTACCGTCAAATCTTGGGTGAGAACCTCCTTCCCTCAGCCAGGGCATTGAAAATGGGTCGTGGATGGGTATTCCAGCATGACAATACCCAAAACACACGGCCAAGGCAACAAAGGAGTGTCTCAAGAAGAAGCACATTAAGGTCCTGGAGTGGCCTAGCCAGTCTCCAGACCTTAATCCCATAGAAAATCTGTAGAGGGATCTGAAGGTTCGAGTTGCCAAACGTCAGCCTCGATACCTTAATGACTTGGAGAAGATCTGCAAAGAGGATTGGGACAAAATCCCTCCTGAGATGTGTGCAAACCTGGTGGCCAACAACAAGAAACGTCTGACCTCTGTGATTGCCAACAAGGGTTTTGCCACCAAGGACTAAGTCATGTTTTGCAGAGGGGTCAAATACTTATTTCCCTCATTAAAAAGCAAATCAATTTATAACATTTTTGACATGCATTTTTCTGGATTTTGTTGTTGTTATTCTGTCCTTCACTGTTCAAATAAACCTATCATTAAAATTATAGACTGATCATGTCTTTGTCAGTGGGCAAACATACAAAATCAGCAGGGGATCAAATACTTTTTTCCCTCACTGTATTTCTCAATGCTTCTCAAAATTAGGGTAGCTGGCTAATTAATTTGATCATGCTTTGTTATACACACGTTTTATGCCGTTAGTCCACACAACATGTCGCCCTGTCACCTACAGTAGAACCTGATGAACAACATGGGGGAAACGATACAGTTGGACATTGGCTTTTTTGTCCTACCAGATTCACGTTGAGAAGGTTCTAGCTAGTGTCTCCCTCTGTCCTACGACTCTTGTTGGATCTAGTAGTATGAAAAATGTATGCTCTGGATAAGAGCGTCTGCTAAATGACTAAAATGTAAAAAAAAAAATGTAGTTGTCCGGTCCCAGGCTCCCATGACTGTTATGATTATTTATTTACAAGTTAATTACAATTTGCATTTTACTTTGACGCCATCTGTACCTCAGAGCAGATCTAGTAATAACATGCTGACCAAACCGGCTACATTGCGTGCGCGAGAGCGTTGGAAAATAAATGTACACATAGCTGTTATTCAATCATTTCATCCAAACTGCTCGCGCTTCAACAGCAGTCTGTGTGGCCAGGCACTCTTGACATGCTGCAAGTCCCCTCTGCTCCCATCTATTCATTGGTTTTAATTAGCATATACCCATGTGGGTGATTGAATGATGAACGAGGTCCACACTCCAGTCCAGTAGTGATGGGAAGTTCCACTCTTTTTAAAGTTGCTGCATGGTCAATCCAACGTCTGCATTGGCGTGCAGCATTTATGGTGATATGGCCTCTGCAAAAGTCAGGACATTCATACATCTGGTGCTTCGCCAAGCAGAGCGGTTGTGAAGGAAGTTGTCAAGGAAGTGAGTTTGTGTTTATACAGGACCTCCCTTCCTCACCGACCATCAACCAATCATGTCAATGTGGAGCTATACAGAGACCTCCACATTGGTACATTTGAGAGGTGCACACACTGCACAGTGATGTGGTTTGGAGCACAATATGGCCTCTGCGTGCCTCTGGAGGCCCCACACATGCATCACACCATCCATATGGCGCCTCCGACCACATTTTCGGATCAAGCATAAATTGGCTCTTACTGAAGCTGATCTTTTTGAGTCTTTAAGTCAAAATAACTAATAATTTTGTTAATTTGAGTCAGTAGGCTTAAAAGCCAATTTATGCTTGACCTAAAAATATGGTCGTAGGTGCAGTATGGAGGAGGGTGACGAAATTGCGGAGCCTCTGGAGGCATGCAGTGGCCAAATTGTGCTCTTTACCGCATCACTGTGTGCCTCCCAAATTTTGTAAGAATGCGGAGGGCTCCGTATAGCTCTACATTGACATGATTGGTGGATGGTAGGTGGGGGCGGGAGGTCCCGTTTAAAAACAAACTCACTTCCTTGACAACTTCCTTCACAACAGCTCTGCTCAACAGCTCTGCGCTGCTCCACGAAGCGCCCTATCACCGTTAATGCTGCACGGCCAATGCAGACTTCGGATTGACCATGTAGCGCCTTTATTACCCAGAGCACGCAGGACCCCCTACCGGCGAACGATGAACTGAAAACTCGAAAGAGTCATAATTCTACAAGCTTCTCGTTCACATGTCCTTCACCATATGGGGCTTATTGGAGCTGTCAGTGACAGACTTGTAAAAATGTGTTTTAAAACAATGTACATTTGTTGCTTGCTAGCCATACAAATACGAATATTTCTTAATACAGTTTAAACAAGGTCTATTTGTGATGGCTGCAACCTGACTAGATTGTAAAAGACACTTGGCATAATGCATTTCTTGACTGCTGTGAGAATGATATGCACAGTAGCCTATCGTTTGCTTACTGCAGCCCCCCAAATGATTTGTTCTAGAGTTCGAGTTCATTGAGCAGAGGCTGTGTATGCTTAGATTCTACAAAGCTGTCTCCATCATAACATTCAATAATCAATGAATTGCATTCATTCTTGCTGTGCGATCAATTATCAGTTCTAAACATGTATTTCTCTTCTATATGCTGCCTGCAGCATGATCTAGTTTCCCTCTCGCACATGATATGGCCTCTGCAGAAGTCAGGGCATTCATACTTCTTGCGCTTCGCAGAGCAGTGCAGAGCTGTTGAGCAGAGCTGTTGTGATGGAAGTTGTCAAGGAAGTGAGCTTGTGTTTATACAGGACCTCCGGCCCCCACCTACTGTCAACCAATCATGTCAATGCGTGGTCCTCTGTAGCTCAACTGGTAGAGCACGGCGCTTGTATCGCCAGGGTAGTGGGTTCGATCCCCGGGACCACCCATACGTAAAAATGTATGTACACATGACTGTAAGTCACTTTGGATAAAAGCGTCTGCTAAATGGCATATTATTATTATTATTAATGCGGAGCTATATGGAGCCCTCCACATTGTTACAACATTTTGGGAGGCGCACAACGATGCGGTAACATTTACATTTACGTCATTTAGCAGACGCTCTTATCCAGAGCGACTTACAAATTGGTGCATTCACCTTATAGTGGGATAACCACTTTACAATTATTATTATTATTATTATTATTATTTTTTAATTGGGGGGGGGGGGGGGGGGGGGGGTTGGAAGGATTACTTTATCCTATCCCAGGTGTTCCTTAAAGAGGTGGGGTTTCAAATGTCTCCGGAAGGTGGTGAGTGACTCCGCTATCCTGGCGTCGTGAGGGAGCTTGTTCCACCATTGGGGTGCCAGAGCAGCGAACAGTTTTGACTGGGCTGAGCGGGAACTGTGCTTCAGCAGAGGTAGGGGAGCCAGCAGGCCAGAGGTGGATGAACGCAATGCCCTCGTTTGGGTGTAGGGACTGATCAGAGCCTGAAGGTACGGAGGTGCCGTTCCCCTCACAGCTCCGTAGGCAAGCACCATGGTCTTGTAGCAGATGCGAGCTTCAACTGGAAGCCAGAGTAGTGTGCGGAGGAGCAGGGTGACGTGAGAGAACTTGGGAAGGTTGAACACCAGACGGGCTGCGGCATTCTGGATG